ACCTTTATCTTTTTAAATATTTATGTCTCTTGTGCTTCTTTTATTTTTTATCTGTGATTTGTGAAATGTGAACGTGTGTGAAAGGTGTACAACTACTGCACAAAATTGCCTATACTGGGACAAATAAAAGCTACTGAACTGAACCCAGCAGCTGCTGCCTCTGAAGCGCATTGTTGCATCAGCTTGTCAGACGCGCTGCTTCGCTGCAGGATCTTTTGCTGCACCTTGATGTGCTTTAAGCAATGACTTTGCATGTAAAGCAGCTGCTCCTGTTACCTCTGGTCTGAATGTAGCATTAGCCTTAGAATAAAACAAACTGTTTTGGGGTTAGGGTCTCTAGTTGTAGGATCCCAACACTGGTGTCAGGACTGCTGGATGCTCCAGTCACTGCCTGCTACTGGAAATGCCACAACCTCTGCGACTGATTTATTTCCATAGCAGTCACGATCCGCTTTCAGGTAAGTGCAGAATATTTAGAAAACAAAAGAAAAGAAATGGAGACCAGCCAGTTGTTCAGCTCTAGTGTTTAACAAATGTCAATACAGAAAAAAACTGTTTCCTTTTGCACAGAAAGGCAAATAAAACAAAGTTTAGTGTCAATAATCCACCAGAGGAACATACAACATATCACTGTCTGAATAAAAGTCATGCTGAGAGTTTCATCTTTTCAATAAGACGTAGAGCCTTGGTAGTGTTTAAAACAAGTCAGCCGATATTCCCTCCACACCGGTACAAAGAAAGACTTTATGCTATCAAGAATTAAATCCCCAAACATTCCATAAAAGGCTGTGTTTTTAATCGCTAAGCTTCCAATCTAACAGACTAAATAAACTCAAAGTGGAGTAAAAGCAAAGAAATAAACGTGACAAAGAAGCTGCATACTGAACCCTTTTTCCCAGAGAAGGCAAAGTTGAAAAAAAACATTAAAATAAAACAATAGTTGACCGATTAATGCTGATAAAAATTCACATGAACTGCATATAAATATGGTGACAGTAAGGCACGTTTTGGTTCAAAGCAGAAACCGTTTAGTTTTACTGAGCAGGTTGAACATTACAGGAAGTAAACGGCATTTTCCCTGATGCTGCTTCACTGGGAGCTCATGGAAAACAGTCCAGGCAGCCTGGATCAGGAATTCAACTCAAAACAACAAGAAACGAAGGCTCCTCCACATGAGGAAGGTTTCATTTCTAGGCTGAAATAAAAAGGAAAACAGACATAAACTGTGGTGTGAATAAAAAAAAAAACCTTTTTGTGTGTTTTGGCTGTTTAGAGCATGGGTTGTCTGGTTTTCATTAAAATTTTATCGCAAATTGACTGGATTATCATGAAGGATGAGCAGCTGTGCTCCTCTGAGAATCACAAATAAAGGTGGATTTTTAAAGCTAATCCAACCAGCTGGAGGTTCACGGTTACATAGTGTCAAAGAATTTCACTTAGTGTTTTAAAGACTGGACAGCAGAGATGGACAGAAAGACCAAACCTTAATCTATGCTGGGAGTTTAGGGGGTAAAGGACAGTAGGCCTGGGTTGGTTTCTGTTTCAGCAGGTTAACTAAAGAGATCATTGTCAGGAAGCAGCTAAGCTTCAGGCTGCTCAGGGGTAAGGTTTAGCCGCGGCGGCGTCTCCCTCCGCTGCGTCCGGCTGGATGGGGTCTTTGTGGAAAGGCGTCTCCTTGTAAATGAACCAGCAGTTTCCTGCCCAGAGGATCAAGTTGAGAAAGCCGAAAATCTACAGAAGACATCAAAGTTAGGAAGCAATGAGTGATTTTTATTTCAATAAATAATAAAATCATGCACACAAAAAGAGTGAAGTTGATCTGACAGCATTTATACCAAACATTTGGAGATCAGAGCAAGGGTTTAACTTAGTGATGAAAGTTGGTGGGGGCGCTCTAAGGGTGGCGGCTGATGGACCTACAGTTAATCCGCACAAACATTTTGTATTTTCCAACAACGAGCTCAAACATCTATTTACTGAATACTTTCCTATTGTTGAGAACATAACAGAACCATCATACACTGATATTTATAGATGTTAGAGATGCCTTTTAGTGCATCATACATACACATATTGTCCTGTTGATACGACGAGGACCATCTATTCATCCTATGGTCCTTGTCGTGTATATATACAGCCATCTAAAGTGCAGAATAGTGGAAAATGCACTTTCTGAACACTGTGTGATTGAATAATTCTCTGCATTTTTCAGTTTGACTTTTTTTGTAACAGGTGCAGCTGCTGAGAATTATTTCTGTTTAACTGGTTTGGCTAGCGTCATTGTTATGTCTGCAAAGCATAGCCAAGGAAGGAACACTTCATTTTAATTTTGTAAGTTTTTTTATCAAGCTTGCTTAATATTGTGCACAGCATACAACCTCAAAATATTGTTCTTATTGTTTTTTTATTTATTTCTTGTATTTCTTTAGTAATGAAAATATTTCTGTAGTCTTTGTTTTTATCCTTGTGGTATCGAAAGGGTATCGAGTATCGAATATTTTACTTAGTATCGGTATCGAGTTGAAAAGTTTAGTATCGTGACAACCCTAATATATATATATATATATATATATATATATAT